AAAAAAAAAAATCTCTTTCCTTACTTATGGCAGATGACTTCCTTCTTCTGCTTTTTGCCTCCCTCCAACGGCAAGTTTTTGAAGATGAGGATGAGCCTGTAGTCAGGCTGCAAGCTGGAGATAACACAGAGATTAATCAAGATTTGGGCCCAGCAGATCTCAGGGAATTCAGTTGGGTACCAAACTTTATCCATTGCAGGTATGAAATGAAAGAAAATACGTGTATGTTTGGGTTTTCTCCAGGAAGCAAACCAACTTCCCAATGTACTGTCCTCTAGATGTGTGGGACTAAAACTTCCATAATCCCTATCTGGTAAGCTATTGGAATTTAGGGTTGCTTCTTAATGTGATGTGGAATCTTTCCAAGTACTTACAACAGCTGTGATTTCCAAATCATCCTCATCCCTCAAAAGAAGTGCTGGCTCAAAGGTATATGGTGTCCCTCGGCCACATTGACTGATGGTGCCACCTCCTGATGCGAAGATTTTTATTTTTAGAATAATTTGGAAGGAGCAGAAGTATTGGTGCTTTCTAAGCTTTGGAGCCCTAGGCCAGTGCCTACTTGGCCTTAGCCTAAAGCTGGCCCTGGCCAAGAGTCCATAGTTATAAACAAAGTGGCTTATAATATGGTGGGTGAACTCAGCCAACAGTCTCTGTAGAACTTGCAGCCAATTCTGACTTTGATGTCCTTGTTACTATACCATCTAGTTTCCCTTTTAATTCTACTCTCATTATTCTCTTCTGAACAGAACCTATTTGGATCTGATAAAAGTGATGATATTCAGGTACCTCTTCTGGATTGTCCTTTGCCTGATTTTTGTGACTGGGACAACCGGTATCAGCATCTTCTGTGTGGGCTACTTCATTGCCTGCTTCTACTTCATGCACTCTGGACAAAGTCTTCAGCTGAAGCCCATCAGAGACATTCTTAGACCATGGGACTACTTGATTGCATACACTACTTTGGTTATAGCAGCAAAGAACCTTCTTGCTGTATGTAGTGGGTTAATGTTTGTGATCAGCTGGCTGAGGCTGGGCAAAAGTGTCTCTTTATTGTAAACTGCCTCAGAAGAAGAATTCTTCTACATTTATTTCTACCAGTTCTTCAGTTTGATGAGAGAAGATTTGTTCCCAAATTTTCTTTCAAAAGAAAAAAAGTTTTGGTGAATTTCTCATGTTCTTGCTCTTTTTAGATATGAAGTAGGTATGGAGGTCCTGTTTTTCACTATACAAACTGATTTCCAAAGATCTGGAACCTCCATGGCTTCTCACATTTAAATCCCAAGGGCAGATATCATTAAAAAACTTCTCCCATTGGGCATCTTTGAGACTGAGAAGTTAGGGTGGCTAAGGAAACTTCAGAATGGTGGAAAGCTATGCAGCAGAAAACAACAGTACAAGAGAGAGGTACTCCAAAATTAACTAGGCTCCAAAATAAAAGAAGAGAAATTTGAAAGAAATTCTCAAGCATTCTGAGAGTAAGGTAGAAAAAGAGAAGCCTAAACTTCTTTTTAGGGGTAGTGTGAGAAATTGTAATATTTTGGCATAGCTTTATATAGTACAGTCTGGACCCATTGTTGATCCAGAGGCAATTTCAATGCAGTACATTGTAATTCTGGCAATGATATGAGAATGTAGATGTGCTCACTGTAAAATGAGCCATGTCGTCAGAAACTGCTCATAACTGTTAATGGGGGACAGTAGAACTGGTTGCAGATGTTGGGATTATGCAGCTTCCAACATGCTTTCCCAAAATCTAAAAGAGAAATACATGATAGAAGGTTATTTCTGATCATTGAATCTAGCCTTCCTGTTACCCAGCAAACATAGCCAATGGTTGAGCTGATAGGAGTTACTAATATAAGCAGACGTGCCTGCAGGATTCACTGCTCTCATCAAAATGAAATTGTGTTGTCATGATGCAAACTCTGCCCCTTTCTTACAGACAAGTATGCTATGATGTATTTGCAAAGAGAGCAGAGTTTGCATTGCAACACCACTTTTTATTATTTGTCCTCCCTCGATTTCCCCTGTGGACATCTCTAAGTCCAAGTTCCAAGATGCATTCTAGAAAAAAACCTTAAAGTAAGTTGCTGTGTTGGAAATAATCAAAAAGAATTCTTACAATAATATACAATAGTTGGTGATGGGGTATACAAAAATTCCCAATTCAAGCTCCCATTTTGAAATGGAAATGACCCATTTCAAGTATGGAATGGGCTGTTTCAGTCACTTGGGAAGTTAAAAGCTCAAACCACTTTCAAAAGGTTCAAAAGATCCCATCTTCTGTAGTCAATTCTGTCTTTGACAAGGCTTGAAATGGTTCCAATTTGAAACATTGGCTGTTTTTTTTGTCAGTTAGAAGGAACAGGTTGGTATAGCTCATATATGTATGTTATTCCAAAAGGTGTATAAATAATTAATGTCAATTTTATCTATTTTCCTCAGTTTCTTAACAAAATAAATTATTGGCTTAGGAGCCCTACTTAATTTTTCCAACACTTTTAATCAATATAGAGTTTAAGAAGCAGCAGTAGCCTCAGGAACAGAAAAATCTAAATAAGAAGTGCTTAAGTTGAATACACTGTCATGAAGCAGCTGCTGAGAGTACTTGCAAATTTAGCTCAGCAAAGGACAAGCCACTTCAAAGTGCTGTTGCTTTAAGGATCCTTCAGGAATTGGATGACATCAGTCAGGGAGAGCCAGGTTGGTCCATGGCAGTGTTTCTCAACCTTGGCAACTCTAAGATGTGTGGACTTCAACTCCCAGAATTCCCCCAGCCAGCATGGCTGGCTGGGGAATTC